CTAGTAGATTCTTGTTACTAGTAAGGCACCTTGCTACTGAGTCTACGTGCAACTGGCAAATGCTACAAGCATTCAACGCGCACTTCAACGCTCTCCCACGGATTTGACACGTCCACTCGGATCGGCTCGGTGTCACCTGAGCATAAAGAGACACCCGACACCGTGGGCGTGGGCGGCTCCTGGCCTGTCTTCTCTGGCGCCTTACGTTCTCGTGCAGCCGGATTTTGGGACAAAACAAGCACGTGATGAAACCGCACGGCACAGCTAGCAGCGACCGCAGGTCTACGTGCACCTTCTTTCCTTTAGACCTTTATTTTGACCTGTCTAATCATCTGCGGTATGCCACACCTTCAGATCGTCCACGCCCATGAGCAGCCGGAAACCCTGCAAACCAAATGGGCCGATTTCGCGGGGGTTGGCCGGGAGTAGAGGTAGGTAGCTAGGGAGTCGAGGATAGCAAGTAGAAGAGGTAGCTAGTAGTAGCTAGCAAGCTACTACATGTGGACGCAGTATAGCTCGCGCTAAATTTTTAGGGAAGCTTAAGGTTCTTCTGCTACTAGTAGCAAGGTGCCTTACTAGTAGCAAGAAGCTACTAGTAGCTACTGGCATTACTACTATATAGTAGCAAGAAGCTACTAGTAACAAGGCACCTTACTACTAATTTCAAACATATCCTTCTTTTTGTTGGACCTTTACTTTCGCTTTCTTCTTCCTACCTTCAGTGCAAAACTCTGCGCCTGTGAGCACGCAAAGCCTTTATGCCAAAGGGTGACGTCTTCACCAGCCTTGGCATGTGCCAGCAGTAGCTTCTTGCTCCTAGTAGTGAGGCCAGGAGCCCCTAGTAGCGTCCTTTGCTCCTAGTAGCGATGCCAGGAGCCCCTAGTGGCGTCCTTGCATGTTTGCATGTTCGAAATGTTCACCTTCAAAGCAGCGCTTTGAGGATGCCAAACTATGGGCGAAGCTTGCAAAGAGCGGTCTGCGGAAAGAACTAGTGCGGGACTTCCCTGCGCGCAAATTGAATCTATCATGACCACAGAAAAACTACTAAGACTTAACATGACTTAGAGAATGAAATCTAAACCTAGGAACTCAAACAGCGGGGTGTGAAGAAAGCAGTCGAAGACCTTGAACAGACTTGGTGACTGTTCTACTCCCTTGTACAAAATCTCTGACCACATGTTGTATAAATATCTACAACCTAGTAGCGATGGAATGCATCCTACTAGCGATGGCCTCCACCCTACTAGCGATGGCCTCCAACCTACTAGCGATGGCTTCCAACCTACTAGTGATGGCCTCCAACCTACAAGACAACTGTTTCTTTGAAGGGCAAAGGCCTGGACAGGCGTTCCATGTGTTTAACAAGCTTGGCGACACACTTTGCGACCACGCTCATGCCTCTCTTCGCTCGAGGCGCAGCACTCCATTGCCACCCGAGGCCTGAGAATTAAAACCGGCACCGTGCTAAATAAGACAAGAACCGTCCAAGACGGCTTTATTAGTCCAAGCTATATATAGTCACGGGAAAAAGTCCATGAACATAGGTTCAAGCTAATACAAGCTATATTAGTGACCGCATATATATATATATATACAACCGATTGTTGTTCGAGCTAGAAAGTGTCTCTTCCCCCTTAAACTTAGATTTAGAAAGTAAAAACCCGACGACAACATCTTCCTTCCTACTATATGTTGGCCTGCTGACGAGTCTACTATGGAAGCTGTGGACACGCTGGATCAAAATCCAAGTCACATTTCGAGGGACAAGTTCAAGTCCAGGTGCTAGTACTTCTAGCGCATCACCTCGCCAGGTAAATGGCAGATGTCACGCATTCATTTTGGTATGATGTATTGCAAAACAAGAACAAGTGCCTTACTAGTAGTAACAAGAAACTATTGGTAACAAGTGCATCGCTACTAGTAACAAGTGCCTTACTAGTAGTAACAAGAACGCTAGTAGTAACAAGTGCATCGCAACGGAACACGCCACACTTTCACCACCCAGAGACAGCACGCCTCCTGCGGCTAGAAACTGCAAGCCCCGCTCCTGTAGAATCCATCGTGCCCAAGCGTACACCTGCAAAAGCACAACATACCACTCATCTCGATGGAGTGAAAGAGATGGGTTTGCACTGCGATATTGACAAAACATCAGAACCAATAGGTACAAAACCGACAGCAGAATCTGTTGTACATGACTTAACTGCTTCTTGGTGTTGGATGGTCTTCAGGGCGCCTCGACAGATCCTCGAGGTATTTCCCCTTGCAGGACGGAGGCAGCTTCCTCAGAGTTCTGTATCAAGCCCAGCGCAGCAGCCACCTGCCCGGAACGCCAAGCACTGTGCAGTGATAGCCAAGCACCAAACCGATCTTTCAGCATGTCTCCCACATTTGCGCTTGCGCACTTCAACAACGTCACAAGCAAGCAAGAACCAGCAAACATGCTCCGGAACCTCCTCAGGACTGTGCTCCTTCCACGCCATGACAACATGACACGTCAGCATATCAGGTGACACGAATCATGTCAGCACATCGGCATGGCAACACCTCAGCTCCTCAGAGACACAACGTATCTGCAAAGTGCTCTGGACTTTGCACTGGAACTGGCAGAAACGAACTACTCACTCCGGAAGCTCCGGGACCTCTCCACCCTCCTCCAGAACCTTCTCCGGACACTCCTCCCCAACTGGCTCGGGAACCTGCACCGGGTGAACCTGCTCCAGAACTTGCTCTGGAACCTCCAGGCTGCTCCTATCTGCTTCAGTCTTTGCTCCCTGAAGCTTCACTCTCTGTTGGAGCGACATGTGCATCGTCTTCATCCTGACCTACTGTCCCAATGAGATGCCAAACCGAACGAACCTGACGCTTCAACATCCGATCGACCGGCCACGGAAGTTCCGACTCGCATGCTTGCTCTCCACCTGAGGTCCCAGGTCAGCCAGCAAAGAATGAAGATCTGCCAGGATCTCTTCCTTTCCAAAGGCCAAAATGGCATCTGAAGCGATCATTTCGAGCAACACCAGATTAAATTTTCATAGCTCAAGTTAATCTAAGGTAGAGCATAAGGGCGTTGAAGGCTGTTGAATCACTCAAACTTTGTCAATCACTTCTGTCCTGTCTCCGATGTGCCTCCTGCACCGTTTGCAGAACGTGTTTTGACACGACTGTCCACTTGGACCGAAGACCCGTGTACACAAGGCTCGCAGTTCGAAGAAAGAGAGCTATACTAGCAAATACGGAAGTCAAGAGTCCTGTCATAAAGGACATGGCGTTGCGCGGCTCTCTATGCACAGAATGCAACTTCTTCAGAATTTCAGGATGTGTTTCCAAGGTCCTCGAACCAAAAGCTGCCTTGCAGAGAGTCCAAATCACGTCTGCCCCAGGCCAGCAAAGTCTCCTGAAATCGATCGGATAGTGAATCTCCACAAAAGGTAAGGCTTTCGAGCACTTACAACTACATATTCAAATGGAATTAAAGGTTGCTATGAACACACTTGAGTCAGCATCTACCACGAGAAGTGAAGCTTGCAACCAGGCTCTTTGGTCTCATGAAAAAGGCCAAAGAACCAAAGTCTGACAAGCTTCCTTCGTGACGTCTGACAACAATTTGGACAAATCGGACGCATAATTTGGAGCTGAGGACGCTACGGACTTTTGATGACCTTTGGGTCCACCGAGGAGCTCCAAATGCTTTCGTCGGTGCTCCTGACGAAATCCATTTGGCCCCTCAAGTGCCAGAGTTCTCATTTTCAAGGACATACTACTACTACTACTACTACTACTACTACTACTAGTAACAAGGACAGGGTGGAGGCCATCCTATTTGGTTGGAGGCCGTTACTACTAGCAACAAGGACACGACTAGGTGGAGGCCATCGCTAGTAGGTTGGAGGCCATTAGTACTAGTAACAAGGACGAGGTGAAGGCCATCGCTATTAGGTTCGAGGCCATTACTAGTAGTAACAAGAAGCTACTAGGTTGAGGCCATCGCTAGTAGGTTGGAGGCCGTTACTACTAGTAACAAGAAGCTACTAGGTGGAGGCCATCGCTAGTAGGTGGAGGCAAATACTACTAGTAGCAAGAAGCTACTAGGTGGAGGCCATCGCTAGTAGG